GCTATAGACTATCTCTACTTTGGCAAAAATTGCACTCTGCCAGTATCAAGTGTTGGTGAAGGTCCAGGGTCACTGGAGCAATTAAACACTGCAGGTGGGGATGTAAATTATTTCAATCACTTTGGGAAATACCTGGCACAAAGTAAAATTGAAGATGTGGTACCCTATGACCTAGAAATTCCACCACTCCAGAGACTATTTCCTGGATATATTCTTCCCTATATATATCATAAAGCATGTACCAACCTCTTCATAGCAGCATCATGTGTAGTAGGAAAAAAACTGCAAACAATCCAAATGTCCATATGGAGTCAAAAATAAATTAAGGCACATTCATGCAATGGGATACCCACTGCTAACACTTAGGGTCTGTGTGATCTCAAGAAAATTACTTAATCTCTCTGTGCTTTGGTTTTCTCATCCATAAGATAGGGATAATACCAGAATCCACCTCATATGCTGATGCAAGGAACATGACCACTGTTCAAGTATCTTCTAAAAAATAAAAATTATAAAAAAGAATCTTCTAAGCCGGGTATGCTGGCACATGTCTGTAATCTAAGCACTTGGGTGGCTGAGACAGGAGGATTGTCATGAATTCAAGGCCAGCCTAAACTAGATAGTGAGACCCTGTTTTAAAAAAAAACAGGGCCAGGGATTTAGCTCAGTGGTTTCACTGTCTGCTGTGCAAGTGCAAGGACCTGAGTTCGATCCCCGGTACAAAAAAAATATATATATATATATATATACACACACACACACATATACACATATATGTATATATATAAAACTTCTAACAGTACCTGGGAACACTCTATAAAGCTCTCTCTATAAATGTTGATGTTTATAAGGTTCCTTGGCTCATGCCTTGTAGAGATTCTCCTGATACTTGACCAACACTGCAATCTCTCCACTTCCATTCAAGCAATGTTGTCCCTGCCAATCTCTTTCACCTTATTCCTCCCATCTTAACCTCACCCTACCTATTCCTGTAACACTCCAAGCTGTTTCCTGCCTCAGTACCTTTGCACATATACTGCCTCTTCTTAGTATGCCCTTCCTACCTTCTCTGTCTGCTGAACGTCTACTTCCTTTGCCTGAACCAGCTCAGAACCCCTTTCTCTGCTCCACTCTGCTCTCTAGCTAGGCATTCACAGTCCTCTGGACTTCAGTTTGCATTTTGACATTCTGGTTACTGTCTCATTCCACTAAACTGTGGTCTCCTTACAGGAGCCCTCTCTCCTTATTCAACAAATTACAATAAAGTCCCATATATATTCAAACCCTGTAGGCAGGCCTTTGGCAGCGTGGCTAAGGGTACAGACTCTGGAGTCAGACAGTCCCAGAGTCCAAATCCTGGCTCCACTTCTTACTTGCCATGTGACCCTGAGTGAATCCCTAATCTCTGAATGTCAGTTTTCTTAAACAGTAAAATGGGAGTATTAACACTGACTTGTCATGCTCTTATAAGGATAAAATGAGATAATATATGAGAAGCTCCTGGAATGTGGTAAGAACTCTAATAAAAAGAGCTTTCTTTTTCCCTCTGGTTCTGGGGATCAAACCCAAAGCCTCAAGCACCACACACACACACACACACACACACACACACACACGCACGCACGCGTGTGCGCGCGCGCGCTCTGCTACTGGACTACACCCTCAGCCCAAAGAGTTATTCTTATTCTGTCCAACCGCTGGAAAGACTGGCTCCTGCCTCACGCAGCTCCTGACACCATGCAGCTGCAGACAGAACACCTCTGGCCAGAAGAGACGAGTACCTCCCTGGTTGCGATGGGCAGACTGAGGTCAGAACAGGGAGCACTGCCAGAGCTGCCCTCCCCACCCTACTACCTCATCCACTGAGCAGCTCCTGACCTCCCTGACCACTCTGGGGCTCAGGACAGAAAAGAAAGTGACTTCCTGACTCCTGTCCTATATCCCTTGCAAGAGTCTCAATTTCAAGCCAGAATACAATACAACCAAAATCTCTTATAGACCCCAGTAGTCCTGGAGCCCAGTGGATGTTCCCCATTTCACAGAGGAATCACCTAGGAGTCAGAAAGCAACATCTCTCATTGAACTCATCTGCCTGCCCCTGCTTCCAGCCAAGCTGCTTCCAAGGGAACACACTGGGGCCCTAAAAGGAACTCCGGACCAGCTGGGCACTGTGCCCACGCTTGCCCACACCCACTCAGCCTTGTCCTCAACCACCTGCCCGCCCGTCCCTGTCACAGCTCAGCCTCAATTCTTCTCCCCACAGCTGGCACTGGTCACCATGGCAACGGGCTGTTTGGGAAGCAGTGGGATGATAGGTTGTGCCTCAGAGCCAAGGATGGGTCCTGGAGGAGAGAATGACTGTGGGCCGCTTCAGGTCACGCCAGGCAGGACCTGGCTCCACCTCCACACCCCAACACCCCAACACCCCACCCCAATGTTGCAGACCCAGAATCCCAATTCTGGACTTCTGGTCCAAATTAAACACCTGCAGTGGGGAGAAAACATGTGTACCAGGATGTCTGCCCCAGCATCACTCCCAGCAGGACAAAATCACACATGTCCATAACAGGTAACATGTTATAGCATCTTCCTTGTACCATGCATGGCGCTAAATGCCAAACATGTGTCAATTTATTTCATCTTCACCATCACCCCATGAGGGAAGGAGCTAGAATGCCTACGTTTTGCAGATGAGGGAATTATGCCTGGAGAGGTGAAGGCACTTGCCTAGGTCATTAGATAGTGGCAAAGCCAGGACCAGACGCCAGCCCATCCGCCTCAGAGGCTCTGCTCTCTACACTACAGTGGCTGGAAACATGAAGAGGAAGTCCCAGCCCATCCTCTCATCCTGACAGCGCCTGTGGCTGTGACAAATATGTCTATAGGCAACTATGACGCAGGGTTCAGGAAAAGCAAGAATTCAGCAGAACAATGTGTACCAACTTGGGAAGATCCTGAAATACTATAGAGCTTAAAAAACAAAGTACAAGCCCCAGAACAATAGGCCATAGTGTAAGCCTATTCATATATAAAAAGGCTCAATGTGCAGATGTTTGTGTCTGTGCAGAAGTTCATAAAAAGGGCACTGGAAGGACACAAGCCATGAACACTGGTTATCTCCAGGAGAAGGGCAATATGCCCAGGAGGCACTTAAAGGATCTTTCTCACTCTTTGATGATAAAAAATTAATTATGAGCAAAGCCTAGTGATCCACACCTGTAAACCTAGCACTCTGGGTGGCTGAGGCAGGAAGATCACAAGTTCAAGCTCAACCCAGGCACCCTAGCAAGATCCTGTCTAAAAGTAAAAAATAAGAGATGTAAGGGTAATCTGGCTTGACGACATCTATCACCCCACTGATTGCCAAGGTTGATTTGGCTGATCTGGCTGGCTAGGCAGGTGTCTGCTCCCTCCATCATGGCTCCATGTGCATTCCTCCTGAAGCTGTGCATTCTGTGGACGAGGACAACCTTCCTTAATAGATGAGGACCATTTCCTTGGCCAAAGGTACACAAGCGGCTGCCCTCCTCCACTAGGACCTCCAAACAAGTTCTCAAAATAAAAAATTAAAAAGGGATGGGGATGTAGCTCAGCGCAAAGACCCTGGGTTCAATCCCCAGTACTACCAAAAAAAAAAAAAAGAAGAAGGGTTTTTAATTTTTTAAAAAAGTAATCATAAAACGATACATATGCTCCCAATTCTACATTTTAAATATACATATTTATATACACATACACATAGGAAAAAGATGGAAGAAAGAGCCTGTACCAAAATGCCTACAGGAGTTAGTGCTGAATGGTGGCATTATGGGGATGTTTATCTTGTCCTTATCTTCTACGATATATGCATGTGACTTTTTAAAGATTAATGCTTTTGAGCAACGTTTACAAAGACAATGCAACAGCATTCCTATATAAGGAGTACAAATAGTGATAAACACACAGGAAGCTCATTGGTTCCTACCTTAATTCCACTTATCGGCTACTTGGCCTTCACCAGTCATTTCACTTCTTGGAGCCTCAGTGTCCACACCAGGGAAATGGGTACATACCAACAGCACCTACCTCCTAGAGCTATTACAAAGACTGAAGCCAAGATGCTCAGTATAGTACCAGCACATGGGAGGCATGCTAGATGCTCTCTCCACTGCGCAGGTGATGCGGAAGATGCATATGCAGCATAGGAAGTCTCAAGACAGACTGCCTGGGTTTGTGTGTTGGCTGTCGCTTGTGGATCTGTTACCTTACCTCCCTGGCCTTCATGTGAAGATTATACCCAAAACATCTGGCATATAATATGCATTACACAAATGTGAAAAAAATTCAACTATGTGGAAAATATTCACCAACAATACACTGTGCCATCCTCCACCTTTGGTGCATAAACATGTTAGATGTGATTAACAAAATTATTCACATCATAAGTAAAAGAGCAACAGAAAGGGAAGCAGTAGGGATGGGGAACATGGCCAGGCACTCATTCTGAAGCTGGGTGAGCCTGGAGAAGCTTGTTAACTTCACTGAGCCTCAGTTTCCCCTTTTAAGTCAATTGCTAACATTAAAGGAAAAGCAAATTTAACAAATTAAGCAACATACCTTGTGCTTATGCCATGCTAGGCACATTACTTTACACCATAATCTCATTTAATCCTCCAAATAACCCCATTAAACTGGCATTAATATTTCCTTTTTTTACAGATGAGGAAACTTAAAGAGGTTAAAAAATATCCCAGGATATTCAGCTAGGAAGTGGGCAAAGGCAAAATTTGAACCCAGGACTCACTGGCTCCAAAACATAATTGGCCCCTCACAAGAATTCAATAAATGTAGTTTATTTTCTCTTTCCTGACTTGGTGGGCATCAGTTTACACAAAATAAGTGTGACAGACAATGTTCATCAAGAGTCTAGCTAGCTTAGCTCTATTAAATTCCACCGCCAGGCATAGAGTTGAAACTGGTGGCCTCACCCTTTTTGTCCCAGACTCTTAGACTCAACTTACCAATCTGGGGCAGGCTTCTGGGCTGGCTTCCACTGGCTCACCCTGGCAGGTGCTGTTCCAACTTTCATCTGTGGGCTGCTCTTGGCCACAGGACGCTGGGTCCCTCCTTAGCTTCTTAGTACACTTGTCTCTTTTCTGCCATGCAATTGCGCCTGTGCAGGCCTTGCTGGCAGTGGCCTCTGGGGAGGAGCTGAGGCTGCCTAAGGGCTCAGGGGAGCAGGCATGAGTGTCAGAGGGCACAGCAAGGCCTCGCCCCAGGTTCTCCCTGGACACCAGCTGGGCCTTGACCTCTGGCCCCAGCTGGCTATGTGGAGCAGCAAGACCTTCCTCACTGCCAGCCCCCACCACATGCTCCACTTCCTGATGTTCTTCGGAAGCCCATCCTGGCACTCCCAGGCACAGTGTAGTGTACTGCAAGGAGTCCTGTGTGGCTGGCCTTTCGGGCTCTTCTGCACAGAGACTGCCGGGCCTGAGGGTGCTCCCTGCCTGGGCAGCAGGCAAGTATTCAAACCCAGCAGCCCCTGAGGCACATCCTGCCTGACTTCTACCTGGATCTCTGGGCCTTCTGTCCTCCTGACACAGACGCCTGCAGGGGCCTCCCAAGGACACCAGGTTGGCACCTCCGAGGGGGCCTTCCAAAGACTGGCTGTCCCCACCAGGGCTCTGGTCAAGCCACAAGACACCACCAGCCCTCTGCTCACCTTTGGAACAGGACTCAGACTTCCTGCTTTTCCTTCTTGCCCTCACAGGGGCTGGGCCTGGTGAGGATGGCAGGTTCCATTCTAGGGACCCTTCTTCATTGAAAGTGGAGCTTCTTTTCTCGCCACCTGGAGCACGGATTCCTTGGTCTCCCACCTCCCTGGGCCTGGGGCAGCTGGCCAGTTCCACTCCTGCTGGCCACTCCACACCCACCTGTGCTGTCTTAGGGAGACCTGGCAAAGTGCTACAAAGATTCCTGAGGTATCTGGTAGTTAAGATGTCTCACAGGGAGACTTGGAGCCTCTTAGAGCACCCAGTGCTCCCTTGAGCAGGCCCCAGGGGCAGCTGGCTGGGGCCCTGCCCCACAGCCTGCAGCTCTAACCCCCCCCCCCCCCCCGCCGAGGCTGCCCCCAGCAGCAAACCCAGCCTGCAGGCTGACACCTGGATGGGACTCACCCCTGCGGACTCTCTTCCTGATCAGAGCCCGACCCTGGGCCTCTGATTCCATACCTGGCGTGGAGCTGCCTCCTACCATGACCTCCTGGAAAAGTCCACATCTATGTCGGGAAGGGAAAACAGCATCTTCTCTGCTGGAGCTCCCCACAGCCCCCTCCTGGGACATGCCTGTCCACCTGCCAGGGCCAAAAGCAGAACGCAGACCTGTGTGGAGGCAGACACAGGAGACCTTAGGACGAGGGGCCTGACCAGCCAGCCTGCCTAGGACATCAGTGGTACGTGGTTGCCCAGGGTGAGGGGATAGAGGCCCACCTCCAACCAGGCTGTGGCTCAGCGGCCTGTAAGGTCTTCCCTGAGGGCTGACATTTTTGTTTAAAAGGGAGATAACAGTTACTATTTATTACCTACTGGTTTATATACATTATTTCATTTCATGCCGGCAGATTCAAAGATGTTAAGTGATTCACCCAAGAACACACAGGAAGTGGAAGAACCAGGGTTATCTCCCAAACCCAAAGCCCAGCTCGAAACCACTCTATGTGGAGCAAACACTAAACAGGCTCATGCCCTCCATTCCACTCCTCTCATTTCCATGCTGATAGAAACCTCACCCAGGGAAGCTAGGCCTGGCCGCAGCTTTTCTCACCTGGGTCTCCACCGCCCTCCTGCTCTGGGCTCGACCTAGAGGGGCCTATTCACGTGATGCGGGGCAGAGGGGCCTCGGTGAGGAGGGGCGGAGTCCCTGGTGTTACGCAAAAGGCGGTTCTCTTGGGGTGCTAACTTTCCGTTCCCAGCAGAGGGCGCTCTAGCCATCGCGGGGGCTTCCCGGAGGAGGTGCCAATCACTCCGGAATCTGGTACTCGCTGGCAAGGGGCCTTGAATGCCTGAGAGGTTAAACTGGATCCTATGGCGGTGGCAGTGGTGGTGGTTGGTGGCGGTGGCGGCGGCGGTGGAGGCGGACGCGGGGTGGGAGAGCTGCCTGAGCCCCTAGGGGAAAGTCATAATCAAACCTAGATTTTTTTGTCTAATTTCTTTTAATATTATTTTTATTTCAAATATAATTCATGTGGATGGAAATACACATCAAACCTAATTAGAAAGATTAGAAATAAAAACTTTTAAATTTCCTCTTATTTCTCAACCCTCCGACTCTGGGAAACAACTGCTTTTTAACAGTGTCCTTTGTCCCGTTAGTTTGCTTGATTTCATAACTGACTACTATACTCATATTTCTTTGGTTTATACTTTTTAACGGTATCGACTTCTGAGATGATTTTATTAACCACCCTTTCCCCCTTTCTCTTTCCAGTTTTTCTCTTTTTTATATTTATATTTCTAGTTTTTCAGTGATTACTGTTATCACTTAGAATAATCTTACGTGTTTCTTCTTTAGCTTGATCTGTTGATTCTCCCAGGTGTGAAATGAATAATTTCCTTTGACTTTTGCATCGGCAAGGTTTATAGCATTTTTTCTACCCTATTAGTTCAGGTTGCCATAGCTGCCCTGTAGTTTGATTCCTAACACTGAAAACCAAATGACTTGCACAGCATTAGGATTCTAGGAATACTTTCACTGTGGACCCCAGGATCTGGCTTGCCCGAGGGAGGTAGGAACAGAATTCCCAGCAGTAACCCTGTGCCTGTGAGGCCATGAGAACCCCCCGGGTCGATGGAACAGTGCACTGCCATTGGCCTGGTTGAACTAGACCAATACGGATGTATCTCAATTTAATGTTGAAATGTTTTAAAGTAAGATAATACTAATAAGGAAAACTGAGTGTAGAGTGTATGGAAACTTTTCCCATTCATCTTCACATTTTTTTCCTGTAAATATAAAAGCCATTCTAAAAACTAGAGTTTATTACAGAATAAATAAGGCACTGTTGGATAATCCATGCCTGAAACTGTCATGATCTGGCTGTCAGGATCACAAATGAGGTAAGAGTTGAGATTTGACTGTAATTACTGCTCAGAGGAAATCATTGTTTTAGTGGGAAGACCGTCCACTATGGGATGTTCTGGTCCCAGGGCAGACCCATGACCCAGCTAAGACCCAGTGAACTGAGCCATTCTGGCCCATTTGGACCATGGAATCCCCGACACCTGGGCAAGAAAGGGGGAGTTATTAGTGTCATTTCGCCTGGTGTGGAGATAAAAGGACAGTAATAGCTAATACTTTACGAGGTGATGCTTCGGGCCAGGAGCTGTTCTAAATGCTTTACTTGTATTTGCCTATATTCGTTTATGTGCTTAAATTCTCACACCAAGTCTATGAGGCCAATACCTCATTATTATCCTTATCTTACAGATGAGAAAATTGGCACAGAGAAATTAAATAACTTGTCTAAGGTTAGTAAGTATTGGCTTTGGAACCCAGCCAAGGGCTGGGGATGTGGCTCAGTCGTAGAATATTTGTCTAGCAAGGCCCTGGGTTCAATCCCCAACACCACAAGAAAAGATAGAACCCAGCCAATCCCTCTGTCCAGTCCCTCTCTCTCTTGATATAGTACTCTAAATCTTCTAGTCATAAGAAATAATCAAAGGAAGTATTTTCCCAGATTTTAGCCCAGTGCCATTCACCCAGTTGTCAGCTATTTGTTCTGATGACTCATGACAGCATCTGTGCTGCATCCCTAGGTCCCAGGCATGGTGGTGCATGCCTGTAATCCAAGCACTGGAGAGGCTGAGGCAGGAGGATCACAAATTCAAAATCACCTGTGCTACATAGAGTTCTAGGCCGGTCTGACTACAGAGCGAGACCCTGTCTCAAAAAAAACCAAAAACAAACACACAACCTCTATTATATCAAAGTTATATCCCCCCTTGTAATTCCTAGCATTATTCACTTATGCATGCTTCCTCTCTCTCTCTCTCTCTCTCTCTCTCTCTCTCTCTCTCGCTCTTGGGGTTAGGGTTTTTTTGCTTTTTTAATCTCTTTTATTGTTGTCGTTACATTTTCTGTTTCATTATCTTCTGTTCTTACCTTTCTCATTTACTTCTTCTACTTCCTTTGGTTTACTCTTGTTATTTTAATTCTTTCTTGACCTGAGTGAAATATCAGCTTGTTTAGAAAACTCCTTCTCATTTATAATTAATTATCTTAATGCTATAGATTCTTCTCTAAGTACTTCTTCAGCTATCCTATAAGCCTCGAACAATAATGGAAATGCTCTTATTGTCATTCAACTATAAATATTTTATAATTTTCAACATAATTTACTTTATAATCCCTGGATAATTTAGAAGTTTGTGTGTGTTTAACTTTCAGATAAATTTTTAAATTTAAATTTTAAAATTTAATAATGATTAGATAAAAAGGGTCTATATATATAATGTTGATTTTTAAGAAGTATGTAAGATTTTTCAGAAGTATTTGTGATTCGATATATTGTCAGTCATTGTTACTGTTTGTTGCGTGCTTGGAAAATAATGTAAACTATCAGTTTCATGTTGTAAGCTTTTCTTGCTCTCTATATTAACTTGAGCTTTATATTATGTTTTTCAAATTTGCAGTAATCAACAGTAACTTGAATCTATAGTAATCAGTGTTCAATACAGAAAAAAGAAACAATTCCAGGTATTCTAAGCAGAATGGGATTTAATAGAGGGCACTGAGTATTTCCAAAAGCAGGAGTGAACACTGAGGTGCAGAAGTGGACTCTGGGCGAGGCCTGTGGAAGCTGCTGCTGAAATTATGCTTAAAATACACGGTGGTGGTGACAACACAAAGGTACAGACACGCGCCACTACTCCACACACAACCCTGAGGACCAGACCTTGATGCTAAAAATCGGATGCTCTGGATTGTGCTAGGGACCAGTAACAACCTAAGGAAAATAACAGCGGTCTCCCCGCACATCTGCCCTTCAGATCTTGGCCAGGGGCACTAAGTGGGGGAAGCGAATCCACAGCTACAACCTTGAGTCTCTGGGAACCTGGGAAATAGCTTCCACTACCCCTCCTCACTGGAGGATGGCGAATGGATGTGAGTGAGACACTCTTCGGTAGTCTCTGGTATTATAAACTATTTTCCATCTACTTGAACTATCAATTCTCAGTGGTATGTTTTTATTTTTTGTAATTGCTCTATTTATTAATACATACATCACAAATGTTCACAATGTCAATGCATTTTGTTGCCATGCTAGACAGAGGTATTATTTTTGAAGGTCTCTAAAAAATATTTGAACTTTCTCCCCAATTCATACTCATTTTTAAATTGATCTAATGAGGTCTTCAAGTCTGTCATGTCAATGCCACACACACACACACACACACACACACACACATACAAAAGACAGAAAGAAGCAAAATAACACAATAGCAGTTTACTAGGGAAGACCAAAAATAATATCATGGCCTTCGTGGCCAACACAGGTTTGTAACAGGATTATACAGGGTTCAACTGAGAGGCAGAGATGCACCAAACTGTTTTTATATAACCTGGGCACAGAACAATAATGAGAAAGGAGGCCTCCTAATCCTCAACAACAATTTCCATCACACATGATGTGCGCTTTTGTCCCTCATGAACAATTACTGATATGTTTCTTTACGTGTCCTCGGCTGCCTAAAGAAGGTAAGAAAGAGCCTTTGAAGAGAAAACCAAACCAAATGCAATTAGGCCAAAAGAAATGTAAGTATCTTCCGCTTAGCTATGTAAAGGTGTGAGGCATTTATCCACCACAAGGGGGGCAAACAGGAGGACGCCATACCACATGAAGAGCGCAGGGACTAGTGACAGTGTGATAACCTGTCACCTACTTTAGCTGCAGTTGGACCCAGGACACTGCAGGAGCTGGCACACGCACAACCCCGGGGAACCTGGCTACCCTTTGGCACAATTCAGCTTCCCAAGATGGCACAGGGTGTGGGCTGAAAGGTGGGGCAGAGACTGGGTAGAAGTGTATCTTGCGTACGAAGTGGGGGTGGGTACTGGGAGCAGGGCTATTATGCACTGTGCTCACACACTGTGTGGAAGTCTTTTCAGAGATCTCTGCGGTTCCTTTCTAAGACAGGCCTCTTTTTTTCCATCATTCTTGAAAGACATCTTACACCATTGATTCCCATGTCTCTGAATCTGGACCCTTTTAGTTAACTTTGGTGGCAGCCATAGTCAGATTGTGTAGATTCTGGACATTATAACTGTTTTTGTGCATGCATAACCTGGTGGGGGAGGGCCATGCTCCAGGAAGTAGAGCCTGGTCCTCCAGTTGGTGTAGTTCAGCTCAGGCTGCTCACATGTGGCCCACTGCTGGCTCCTTGCCCTTGTAGTTCTGCATGGCATCCATGTAAGTCCTGAGCAGGGTGCCCTTGATCTCATGATGGAACACAAGCCCTGAAATGCCAGCTTTGAGCTCAGCCAGGGACTCCAGGGACAGGAATGGCGCATACAGGTTTAGCTACCACGGCACATAGCCAAGCACCCAAGCAGGCCAAATACAACAGTGATGCCAATTCTGATGAGCACGGAAGGAACATTTGTGGAGTTTTCAGCAATAAGGGAGACATAGGTGCCCAGGGTAAGTTTCCCCCAGATTACAACAGCCAACCAAATCAGTCCAGTGATTCAGAAGCTGGAGGAGTGAATGAGGAGGATTTTGAGACAGGTTATCACAGGCTTGGTCTCTTTTCTCCTCAATGCTGCCACTCTGCAGAGCTCCAGCCATGGTGGCAGGCATTCAGGGGTGTGCTTTTAAATCTCACATTATGATTGTCGACTTGTCCATTTTTTTCCTT